TATTGGGTTCAAGTTGGAGATCAGAACAGCAAAGCAGCTGACCACTAGAGAGTTCTTACCTCTACCAAGCATGGGACAATCCTGTCCTCAGCATGACTGAAGACTGAATACAGACTGTGACCCAGAACTCCCATCTGATATTCCTCTCGAGTGCTGTGATTAAAGAAGTGTAGCATCCCTGCCCAGCTTCTTTGGCTAACTAGTGTGGCTTCTGGGATTAAATATATGTACTACCACTGCTTGGCCTCGACGACTTTGCATTCTGATCTTCAGGCAAGCTTTATTAGATCACAAATAAAATTCACCACAAAATTGGAAGTCTAGACAACTAGTCATATAGTATGTTCATGGATCCTAGAAGAGAACATACTATGGCAACTTCCCTAAACTAGTTTAATTTCTAGGTAAAGTTAAACACACATACATGTACCTACAGCTGAATGTAGCTCCTATAGCCATCAATGAAACCTCTTTTTGCAAAGACAAAAAATTCTCAAATTAGTCCAAAAGTATAGAATAACAGACATTACAGGATATCCAGCTCCAATGATTAACTGTATCACATTCCCTTGTTTGGAGACTAGGAATGATTTCAAAAGTTGAGGTGGAAAGATTTAAAGAGAGAGATAAAAGATTAATTTCATAGATGATCATCTAATGGTCAGGCATAAACACACATACACAAGAGGAACATTGAATGGTCTTAGAAAATTCTATTTATATATTCCTCAATTTTACATAAACATATGTACACGAATAACAGTAATTAGATAAGAGTGAAGATTTGGAGAGAGCGGAAGACATGGAAGGAGGTAGAGGGTATAATGAGGAATAGAAATGGTGTAAATTCAATAACCAACCATGTAGAAAATTCTAAAAAAAAGCATGTAAAAGCTTTAGAAAGGAATACAAGAGAGCATCGGGGAGAGCGTGAGAACTCAAAACAGCTGCAGTGAGAGTGATGGATGAGTTTGTCTGAGGAGCCTCTTCTGACAGCACTCCAGTTCTGGCCATCATCTTTCACCAACTTTCTCCCAATTCTGAACACACAAGAAAGGGCAGAGAGAAGTTTCCTACTACGGGTTTACTTCAGTGTAGTATATGTTGCAAGAAGTATGGAGGAAAGAGGTACTGTAAACTGAGAGTAGTATTGTCACAGCACAGAGAGCTCCTATACCCTGTGTCCTAGAGTGAGCTTCGGGAGATGTGGTCTGACGGAAGATGCAGGAACCTGGTCTAAAGTTCCAGACTTGGGTCTTAACATGAAGTTGTTGAGATCATGCCTCGATAGTGAATAGGAACTCAGAGTATGGCGGCGTCTACTAAGATAGAAACTCGAGACAGGACTGAAAATTTGTTCTGCTAGCCTAAAGTGAGAAGATGGAGAGGGACAAATGTTCTTCAGCAGGAAGTTATCAGTTAAATGGAAACAATAAGGGGAGGTGAACAAGATTGCATTTTTAGACAAATATTATCACCATTGACAATTATTTTCTGAAGACTGATGTTCCCAACTATGACAGCATTTTGCTCTAAAAGAAATCCATAGAAGGGTGGGAAACAAAAATGGCTCAGAGGCTTAAAGGAATTGTTTCCAAGGCTGGCATGCTGAGTTTAGTTCCCAGATCCACCTTGGTGGAAGGGGATAAACAATCCTTCTTGTCCTTCTATGTACAGTAGCATTTTATTACAAATACAGTCCTATATGCATGAATAAGCATACACATAATATCTGTCTCTGTCATAAATGTACATAAAATGTTTAAGTACCTGTAAAATAAAAGTCAAGCTGTGGTTTTGCCTATTTTGTTATCCACCAACATGAAATTCTTTCAAAAGTCAGAGCTCTTCTATAATCTTTCAGTCATGTATGTCTCCATTAATCCACATATGTCTCAGCTTTTTTTCTAGGCACTGTAACATCCCAAAACAGAAGATGCATTGTTTCTTCCCAAAGCACTAGTTGCAATGGGCTGGAAGGCAGAAAGATGATGGGGGAAGTCCTTCTGTATATGTTTCTCTTAGTGGTTGATGAATAAAACATTGTCAGAACAAGGAGACAAGAAGAGAGGTGGGACTAGGATGAGGTAGGCAGAGAGGGCTGAACGGAAGAGTCACCATGTAGGCCACCACTAGAGTAACAGGTTCAGAACCTTTTCTAGTAAGATAAGACCACATGGAAATATTTAGATTAATAGAAATGAGTTAATAGTTAAGGCAGAGCTAGACAGTAAGAAGCTCTAGTCATCTTCCAACAGTTTAATAATTAATGTAAGTCTTTGTGCAGCAGTGGGGTCAGGCTGTCACAGAGAACCACCAGCAACAGACAGACATTTAGAAGATGAATTCAGAGATTGAATGGATTTATAATGGGAACAAGAGCTTTAATGAAAAAAGGGGACTTGTGAGTTGACTCATTATTTATTAGCCCCCATTTCTCTTCCAGAGTACCAGAGTTCTGTTACCATACCTATTTGAGGAGGAATCACAGCCTCACCTAACTACAACTCCAGGGTATTTCACACAATCTCTTGGTTCCCAATAGTCAACTGGGCATCTCCTTCTGATTCTCAGCACAAACACCCAGGCTGCGGTGTTGACAAGGCAATTATCCAATGGTTCTCATGGGCTTATGAGATTTCACAGTATAGGCAGTGTCTCTCCGGGTAGGAACAGAGGTCCTCTTGAGGACTGCATATCCTCAGGGATTAAGTCTAGCGAATTCTTTCCTGTAGGCAAGTAGTGACAGATGGTGCTGATCCGTACAGCTGTCCTGTCCTAGAGTCAGGGTCTTGTTCATATGTGAGGCTATCGTGTTGTCATGGCAACATTCATTCACCACGTGTGGTGTCATTGGGTAACTGACACACAGAAACCCTGTGTCTCACACAGCCATGTGTGACAGACAAGTTGTCAGTCCACAACCATGCCACCAGTGTCTTCATCCTGGAGGCCTTCTGTAGTGTCTGTGGAGGGAGAGGAACTATTTTTTTAGAGATGTTAATCTTGGAAATTGACAACTCGAGTGGATGTCTATTCCACAAAGGGAAAACAAATGGACTCTTAGAGTTGACTCTAGAGATAAACTACCTGCCTCAGGAGAATTTGTATAAAATTCCAGGACTCTGAACACAGCTGTTGGACAGGAATCATGTGTTTTCTGGAATGTTGCAGCCACTACTCCAGAAAGGCAAAATACAAGGCTTTCATTTTTTCTTCCAATGGATCCTAAATCTAATACAGGTCTCTCTTTGTCCAGGATGTCACTATTTCAACAACTTTAGCATTGGTCTCTCATCATACTTCATTGTACTCCTTAGACATGTCAACCTTTCAGGATTTGGACTTAGATCTTGAGTGTGAGTAACAAAGTTCTTATATAGAGCCTGTTAAAGTCCAAAATCACTAACCTAGTTCTACCCAAAATACCTCTACCTTCTTCCAGTAATATTTGCCTCAGAAAACATCCATCTGGGAGTTCTGGGAAGATGGATCAGGGGTTAAGGGAATAATATCTCTTTAGAGTACCAGAGTATTGTTCCAAGAACACCCAATTACAGCTCATGAGCAAGGTGTAATTCCATTTCCAATGACCCATTTAGGCTTCTGTGGGTATCAGGAATACTTGTGGTTCACAAGTATACTTTCAGTAAAAATAACCATACATATGGAAAGAAAGAGAGAATGAAGGGATAGATGGGAGAAAGAAAGAAACAAAAGAGGAAAGGAATAGAGAAAGAAAACAGCAATGTGTATTTCAGGATCTCTTCATGGTCCTTACCTGTGTGAGATAGGACATTACAAGCAAAGATGATGGTTTTGCTCCAAGCTGAACTACACCCCTCATTCTTCCCTTACCTAGATCATTCTGAAGCTCATTTGTCTTTTGGAGACATGTCCATCATCTCAGCTACCATCGAACACCTCTGAAAACTGGCTCATGTTTTGGTCCAGCTGTGGAGGGATGTTTCTGTTCCACCAGGTTCCACAGTTGTTTAGACCCAAATAAAAACATGGAGGCTTATATTAATTATAAAGTGTTTGGCCAACTGTTGTTTTGTTCCTACTAACTTTAAGCTTTCTCCCTACAACATGCTCTGATCTACTACATTCTCCTTTCTTTTTCTGATAACACTTTTCTGTTTGGGGACTATGGAGGTCTCCTTGCTCCTAGTATTTGTCAAATGGGAATACAAGATTTTAAACAGGGAAACATATATGAAATGGCAGAGATGAGTCAGGAAGATCCTAGAGCTTATGCACACACTCAAAACATAATGCTAGAATGTTGCTGTGAGACCCTCCATAGTAAGAAGGGAGCATATAGCCCTTTTAAGGACACATAGTTCACCTCTTTCCCATCATTAGCCCATGAAACTCCTCATACAACTGCTCCTGGCCCTCTCTCCTGGATCGTTAGTTGATGGTGACATTAGTGATGAAGAATTGATCTTTATCCCTAGTCATCACTCAGCTGGTATATTTATATCCCTCACAGACCTGCCTGTCACATTCTTGCAGCAATTAAGTAAATACCTAATTCCCATAGCATTGAGATCACAGGGTGGAATGGATGCTCAGCTGGGTCTGTGTCACAAGACACATAATCATGATGGACTTGGTGACTGTATATTCAAAAGAGGAATCCATGGCTGGGCTGGAATCACAAAGCGAAAGCATCATAAAGCAAGGACTCCACAGAGAAGGAGTGCAGGGAGGCATTGCTGCCTACACCAAATACTCTATGTGTGGAGGGAATGTGGGATTTTGAAAGGTGAGGCTGGCAGATACCTGAGCAGAGAATTCCTAAGAGCGTTAATTCAACACCCACCAGACACAATGAGTTAATGGAAGTCATGTTGCTCATGTTAGTAAAGGAGGGTGGGCACACCCCTACTCTCACACCAAAACCTGAGTGATGACCACACCTGTTTAATATTGGTGGTTTTTCTCCTTTCCCTTCTAGCCTCCCTTTTAACCTTCTGGCACCTGCCCACCACTGCCCAAGTGGCCACTGAGTTAGTGCCACCCCTAGTGGCTGAAGGAGATGATGTCCTTGTCCTTGTCCACAATCTGCCAGAGAATCTTCTAGCCTTAGCCTGGTTCAAAGGACTAACAGACATGAAACAAGGACTTGCAATATATGGACTTCACAACAATTTAAGTGCAACAGGGCCTATGCACAGTGGTAGAGAGACCATATATCGCAATGGATCCCTGCTGTTTGAAAAGGTCACCCAGAAGGACACAGGATTCTATACCCTAAGAACCTATAATAAGCGTGGAAAAATCATATCAACAACATCCATGTACCTCCATGTGCAGGGTAAGTGATTTCTTGTGAATTCTGTGAGCTGGGTGAGGTTCATTTCACTGGACACATATAGGAGAGTGGTCTGTGTCTACCCTCCCTATGTGTTTTGCCCTGTGTTGGGGTTTTAGCCTTTAGTGGAGCATAGATATGGTGTAGAATTTTGGCAATAGATCAGCATCCTTCATTTGATTTCACCTTGCACACAGATGGATGTGTGGTGGGTAACTCAGTAAAGGATATCAGCCTCTGGCTGTACTCTTGGAGTTGTTACCAGCAATATTTCCTTGAGAAAGACTCAGAGGGTATCAACATTGTGCCTGGTTGTTGAAAACATTCGATCCTCACACGAGCACCAGAATGCCCTGGCTCCAGATCGCTTTCCCAGACTCAACTCCAGGTGTCTACAAGAAGCATTTTCTAAGTGTTGTATTTTAACTTCCCGATGGCAGGTAACAGTGCTCCTTAGTAGGCAAGGTCTTGTGATGTGTAGTATTGGATAGTGCACTATCATGAAAGCCTTGTTCGGTCTACATTCTTTGGCCATTTCTTCAGAGATTTGGCATGGGAGCATAGTTCACCAGGTGTCCAGGCTGTCCTGTTAGACATATGAAATTTACATGATGGTCAAAGTCCTCAAGGAGAGGGACCGAGGACAAGAGGGACTCTTGTCCTGACAAGAGCTCATTCTCTGTGTCCAGCACAGGGAATTCTCTCCTGCAGACAAATGGCTACATGCTATGCTGATCTCATGACTTTCCCAGCCATGAACTGTAGCTACCCCAGTGATCACCAGGGATGTCATCAGGATACACAGTGAACTTGTGGAAGAGTTTCCCTGAACTAGGAATGTACCCAATAGCCTCGTTCCACCCCTGTTTTTATAGACCAGGAAATCATGGTCACAGCATTCTCAGACCTATAGGCTGCTTAGTGTGTCTGTTATATTTCCAGGAGTTCATGCGCTGTTTCCTACTTTGGGAAATACATGACCTCCAAGGAGAATAAACTAGGTAGAGATCCAAAGCATCTCAGAAATATCATGGAGCACATATGTAGACCCAATACATAGTTCAGAAATAGAAAATCAAGCTGATGATGAAGGAGCTCACAGCCTTTGTCCAGGAATCAGGTCACCTCCTCCCATGCACCCAAGATGTGAAATTCTCACACATTATGGGCCTTTGACCTTGGTCAGAACCCAGTCTGATGGTGACTCATGTGAGAATAGATGGCATTTTTTGTCACCTTCCTTCTGGGAGCAAATTCCATGTTTGCAGGGTATTCAAAAGACAGGGTAGTGTTTGTGACCAGCTGGGTTTCTTTGTCACCCACTTGAGGAAATTTTTCTTTTGGTGCTAACTGACCTAGGCCAGGTCACAGCAGAGTGCAGTTCCAGCACCAACTGCTATTATCTCTTGTCACAGGGATGGCCATTGCCTTGACTCTCACTCTCTGTTCTGGAGGACAGAAATGTTAAGTGAGAATGGGAAAGGAACATGGGGCAGCACTAACGGGTGAGGGGCAGAACAGTGTTTTGAAAACAGACTCACCCTCAGCCCGTGGAATCCTGGGAGACTCCTCTTCCTGAGAAGAGGCTAAGCTCAGATGAGGGGACAAAGTAAAGCTTGGGAGCTCTGCTGGAGCTGAAGTCTTCACAGGGGTAACAAATCAGTCTACTGAGATAATGGGGGTCCTCTCTGTACTCCTCTGAAAATGGTGTGCCACATCTCAGTGGCTTCTGCTCACAGATGAGGAGCCTACGAGTTGACAGTGTGTGAAAGGAGAGGCCTGGTATTCTCTGGAGTCTTCTAAGTGACACAAGGACATGAAAGTTATCTCAGTGTTTGTAGGGGAGAAGGTATAGTATGGGAGAGAGGCCCAGCATTAGGATGCTGTCATTGAATATTAAACAGTAAGGGTGGGGGGAGACATTATTCCTACACAAAGTTAGTTAACATGATCACAATATACTAATGCCTGACATTCTCAGCGTGAGGGCGCAAATAAAAAATCAAGCTGGTATGGATCATTGACATGGTCCAATGAATATAGGCATTTGCTTTATTGTCTGACAAGCTGAGACCAAGGAACAGAAGTCCTCTGAACTCTATTGAGGTATTGTATCCAGGATCCATCCACATACAGTAGACTAGACCTTACACTGCACAAATAGATGTATCATATGCAAACAAATGTAAAAAGTTAAAGAAAATGGAATTGTCCGGTACTGTATCCATAAACCTGCAAGTTTCATAAGTAAACCCATGAGTATACTGGGTTCTGGGACATCATTCACTCATTCAGTCTTCACATGTTTCTGAATTTTTTTTCTAGGCAACATTTTTTTTTTAAATCCAAAATAACTTACTGTTCTTACGATTACCCAGGTCAAGTGGACTTGAAGTAAAGTAAGTTAGGAGGTGAATTCAGGTGTTGGCTGTAACCACAAGAGGAGCAGAACAACAACTAAACTCAGAGATTGAAGACACAGGGTCGGTAGGAGAAGAGGTTGGGCAGGCATCACCCAAACACCATCCACTGTAAATGAGATCAGGGGTCTGATGGCAGTAAGCCATATCAATGTTGACAATTGAAGACAGGGACACTTACAATAGAAATGATAAGTATGGGGATACTGAGGACATGAAGGTTGTGCTGACCTCCACTTGGTATGACAGGGAGACACCCACCCACAAATCTAGGCTGAGAAATAGACATAGCTGCTCAGGACACAGGACCTCATCTTAGTCAAATACAGAAATCTGAAATTATATAGCTCTTTCTCTTTCCTTCCAGCCTTCCTTTGGAACTGTGGGCGCCATGTCACCTCCGCCCAGCCCACTGTTGAATCAGTACCTCCCAGCGTTGCTGAAGGGGGGAGTGTTACTCTACTCATTCACAATCTCCCGGAGAATCTCCAAGGCTTTGTCTGGTTCAAAGGAATATCTGTGTTCTGGGAACACGAGATTGCCCGATACACAATAGGCAGAAGTTCAAGTGATACAGGGCCTGCGCACAGTGGCAGAGAGACGTTGAACAGTGATGTATCCCTGACGATTCACAACGTCACTCGGAATGACACCGGACTGTACACCCTACGGATTGTGAGTGCAGATATGAAAAGTGAGGAAGCACATGCCCAGCTCCAAGTGGACAGTGAATGACTCTCTGTGGTTGTTCATGGCTGGGTGGGGCTTAGACACACAGGACTGTCATGCCTAGCCTTCTTTTCCTCTGTAATGTTTCCCAATGAGGAGGTTAGTGCACTAAGAGCAGGACAAACCCTGTAGAGACAAATGGCCACAGATCAGACTTCAGCTTCTCACTCCACCTGCACCAAGAAAGAACTGGATGGAAAATAACTCATTCTAAAATGTCAGAGAGCCAAGTCTCTTGGGGCTTTAGGCCAGGGAGCTCTGAGCCCTGTCGTCTTTCCAAGATGAGAGTAAAGGAAGCGAAGGGAGGATATTTTCAGTACTCTACTCTTGCTTCCTGTCAAAGCTGATAGGCGGCAGTGGTTTTAGGTCGTCCATGTCAAAATGGGGCATGCATTGACTCCATATTGAGAGTGTCATAAATACAATCCACGAACTGGTAGAGATATGATGAAGAAGGGCTCTAGAGCTTGGTCAGCTTTCAGTCTTATATCACCTAGGACTGCTTGCCCAGGGGTGGAAATGCCTGCAGTGGTCTTCACCCCTTCACATCACTCCCCAATTAAAACAATGCCAATCTGGTGGTGGCATTTTTCAATTGAGGCCCTGTCTTTCAAAATTACTCTCACTTGTGTCAAGTTGACATAAAACCATCCAGCCCGGTACCCAATCCTTTTAAAGATCTCCCCCGAAGATCAGACTCCTCCCTCATCCCATCCAGTCCCAATCCTGAGGGATGGCAGGCAAAGAAGAAAGAGCCTTTACAGTGTAACTTCAGGGTTTGACTGGAGCCATAAATGAAACTGAAAACCACTATGGCGTGGAAACCCCTGTCATATTCGATCGTGGGAGACATAGTCTCAACCCTCAGCGTGCATGAGTCTGTAATGTCTGAGGGACAGCAGTGAGGGGGTAGCCATGGAGAGGGGAGATTTACATATGAGGCAATGACACTTTTTCAGGGGCAGATGGAATGGAAGAGGTCACATTGGTGACCTCCATTAAGTGGCATAGACACACTTACATCTACAGCTCTAGGCTTAGGGAAAAATCCATCCGCTCATGATGGAGGTGACCATATTTTCACCACACATAATGATCTCATGTGATAGTTGTTTTTCTCTTTTCCCTTCCAGCCTCCCTTTCTCCATGCTGTAACCCTCTATACTCATCACAAATCATGATCCAACCAGTGCCTCAGTACGTTGCTGAAGGGAAAAGTGTTTTTCTCCAAGTTCATAATCTTCCAGAAGATTTCCAAGCCTTTACTTGGTACAGGGCAGTGTATCGTGTTCCATATTTTGAAATAGTCGAATACCACAGAATCCTGAATACCATTACCTGGGGAGATCAATACAGCACAAGAGAGACTGTGTATTCCAATGGATCCCTGCTGCTCAAGGACATCACTGAGAAAGATGCAGGAATGTACACACTAGAAGTTTTGAAAAGTGATTTCCAAATTGAGAAAATATGTGCACAATTCTATGTAAACAGTAAGTGACTCTCTATGGCCTCCAACTGCTGGGTGTGGCTTATACTACTTCATACACTGAGCTCTTAGGAATGGGCTGTGCCTGCTGTCTTCCCTACTGCATTGTGTTCCCACAATAGCCTTTGGGCACTCACTGCAGGCACACATTGGGTAGATAAACCATAAGTTGGAATCCTTCACCTGTCTTTCCCTGCAGAGAGAAGAATATATGCTGGGTATCTCAGCAAAAGGATGTCAACCTCAGTGCAAAGTCTTGAGGCTCTCACCATGCACATAGCTTCAAGAGACACTCTGTGGGAGTCAGGCAGACACTGGATGAGGAAGCCATGGGATGCTCACAGAGAGCACCAGGAAGCCCTGACACTAAAACGTTGCCTGTGGCTACATTTTGGGTTATATTTGGAAGAGTTTTGTCACTGTATGTTTTGATTCCTGTTAGAGTTTCCAGGAAACAAGTTTTTACTGACTATCCAAATCCATTAGTGTGTAGAACCAGCTGTGTACTGCCATGATAGCTGCAGTTAGGTAGATTACCACTGTATCTTCTTCTCTTGAATCTCAGTTGGGAGGTGTCCAAGCTAGTAGCCTATTGTTCTGATGGGCTTATGAGACATCACAGGAAGAAGGTCATGGCAGCAGTGGAAGAAAGAGAGGAAGCAGCTACTCTAGACTCTTTCTTCTCCTCATGGGTCCAGCCTGGAGAGTTTTGTTCTATAGGTCAATATGAACAGATGCTCTTGAAGTGAGCATCTCTCCATCCCAAGGCCAGATCATTGCTCATAACTAAGCTCAATTCATGGATATGGCAATGATCATGCTCTTTGTTTCCTATTACAGGGAAACTGATTTACAGTAATCAGTGCCTGAATCAGGGTCACAGAGTTCTTGGGTGGCAGATCTAAAGCACAAGATATGTCTGTAGTCACAGTTTCAAATGGTCCCATGGAGGCTTTATTAAGTATAAACTAAAAAGGGGTTGGTTTGACTCTCTGGACTACTGTTGTTTGATATTCTCTATTTCTTCACAGAGCATGTGACTACTGTTTGATATTCTCCTCTATTTCTTCACAGCCTCTCGTGCAAATCACTAACAGCGTAGTCTCATCACACAGATGTGTGATCTTCACCTGTGTTTCACCTGACACTGATATTTACATTCATTGGTTCTTCAATAACCAGAGTCTGCATCTATCAAGTAGGATGACTCTGTCCCCAACAAAGCGTGGACTCAGAATATGTCCTGTACGGTTGGAGAATTTTGGAGAGTATCAGTGTATGGTCTCCAACCGAGTCAGTTCAAAGACCAGTCTCCCAGTCTTGTTTCGCTGATAAATGAGTAATCTTCCTTCTCATCCTATGACAGAATTGAAGCATTTCTATTGATATAATTTGGGTACTGAACTAAGAAAAGTTTTATGGTGTAATTAATCAGTTATCACTCAGTTGTAATCAGTATGGTAACTCACATCTATAATCCTGGGATACATATGTATACAAGGGAATGCCAAGATTTAAAGTGAGACTCTGTCTCCCAAAGAAAATAAAGACAAAAATGGTAAACAGAAATGAAAGGGAGTTAAGAGCTTGGATTGTGAATCAAATATAGCCAATCATCAGAATTCATGGAAACTAACTTCAGGAAGGGCAAAACTTTGAATGCTCTCAGTCTGCTATAAAAATGGTAGAATGTTTGCAGAGAGAAAAAAACATCCTCTCATATGGTCAAATACATTCAATGTTTAACTCATTCACTAATTTAACTAAGACCAATGTTGCCTGTGTACCAGTCATCCATATGAAGTGAGGAAGAGTGACAGGAGAAAGGTCTGCCCATGTTTCACCATGGAATTTGCTGGTTTCTAAGTAGTTTTGATCCACAGTTGGATGTACAGATGTAAATTCCTTGACATAAGGGCAGATCATACTGAGAGCAGCATTCACAGTTGGACCTTGTACATTATTATTTTTAGTATGTATTTATTTCATCTCATGTTATCCACCACAACCACAGTTTCCCCTCCGTTCAATCCTCCATAAACTCCTACCTCCACTCTTCCTCAGATCCCTGTTCTCTTTTCCTTCAGTAAATGAGCAGGCCTACCAGGAACATCAATGAACCACACATGGCATGACAAGTAATATTAGGCTTGCCACAACCCCTCACATTAGGACTGGGTGAGGCAATCCAGTAGGAAGAAAAGGGTTCCAAGGGTAGACACAGTAATCAGTGATCTCTCCCACTCCTACTGCTAGGAGTTCCATAATAGTACCCAGATACATTAATGAAAATTATATGCAGAGGATCTAGCTCAGACCCATACAGGGTCTGTGGTAATCACGTTAGTCTCTGTGATCCTCTATAAGCCCTGATTAATTTATTCTGTGCTCCATGTTTTCACTGTGTCCTTGATACTTCTGGTACCTACAATCAATCCATTTCCCCCCTCCTCTGTGGAGTAACCCTGCTGCTGCCAAGTGTTTGGCTATGTATGTCTATATCTGCTCCCATCAATTGCTGGACATTGATCAATCAACAGTATAACAGAACACCATTTGTAATAATTTCACTGAATTTTTTCAGCCATACTTGGTTCTGTCTTGAATTTGTGGGCTGTCCAGCTCTGGGTCCTTGCCATCCTGGCAATGCCATGTATGGGACCTTCTCATGACATGTGCTTCAAGTTGAAAAAGTCAATGGTTGGCCACTCCCACAAGTACTGTTCTATCATTGGCAGGTGTTCTGTGTTTCCTGACTCAACGAAAGAAAGTGTTCACTTAAAGATCAAAATTTTACGCTGTATGGCGGCAGGATATTCCATCTTCTGATAGAAAAACTCAAACAGTCATACAAAGATATATTTATTGATTGTTGCAAAAATTGTTTTTGGGTTAAATAAGTTCCTCATACCAAAGTCCCTGATATAATCTATATGGTTTTTGAAGGAAAGCATAGTGCTATCCCTGCTACTTTGCATCATAAGGTGTAATATTTGCAGTATTCAATAATCCAAGAGCTTTATGTTTGCCAGAAGTATCTTGTGAGTGACCAGGATCACATGAAAAGATTGACTGTAAGACTCCTTCAGAACCACAGAAAACAATCATTGATTTCCACAAAGATTTCTTCAAGGCTAAAGTACATTTAGAAAACAACTATTCTGTTCTAGCGTTCTCCACTGATACATCAACTGTGCAAGATTCCTACATTTTCCCTTTCTGTTTAAGGTATATCATGTTGAAAATTATGGTGTCACACAGTGAAGGCAACCTTTTCTCTTTTGTGGTTTTTCAGAGTCTTATGTAGAAAAGTCAGAATACATTTTAAAGCCAGTAAGATTACTATAGCAAAAACAAGTATAGCAATCATTAAGATAAGAAATCTATTAAAATGATTCACAGGATTAAATAAATCTATTGTATCTGCCAGACTTTCCATAACATACATCCCAAACACATCAGGCAACATATGTGTAAGGTTTTTATTAATTTCTGGTTATATATAATTTAATTATTTGAGAAGAATTGTGGTGAGTCAACCAATAAATTTTAACCTTTACTGCTCATTCTTGCTTTCATTAAATCTTAGAGATGTAATACAATAAGATGTAATAGTACCATTACATTTTAGGTTTATTTGTTTTTTAAAAGTCTCTAACTAATCTTCCAAAAGTAACATAGTTTTTCTCAAATTATCTATTTCATAAATAACTATCTATTGATGGGAGATGCCATTCTGTATATATGTTTCTCATACTGGTTAATGAATAAAGCACTGTTGGCCAATAGGAAAGGACGATAGGAGGGACTAGGAGACAAGGAGGAAAGAGGAAGGAGTAAGGAGGAGTCAAGATGGAGAGTCTGGAGAGAGCAGAACCGCTAGCCGCCTCTCTCCGGTGAGATAAGACCACATGGAAATACACAGAGATGGGTTAATACTTAAGACAGAGCTAGCCAATAAGAAACTAGTACCTGGTCAACAGCATTATATCAAATACAGAGTCTCGATGTGTTAATTGGGGCTGGCGTGATGGCGGGACCAGACCAGCGGCGGATGGAAAAACCTTACTCTTTACAATCTATTTTATTCTTTAGGGCCCAAAGTTGTGCTGAGTGACGATGTCAGTTTCTAACAAATTCAGACATTTAAATTACTTAATTAAATGTCAATCCAGGAGATACAGCAGTAGCAGGCAATGCAATAATTCCCACAATCACAGGAATAAGTGTTTTTGGTTTTTTTTTTTTTAACTATACATTCAGCAAGTTTCTGGACTGGTATCAGTGTGAGTCTTGTCATTGTCCTGATAGCTTCACTGGCACCCATATCGCTAGCAATGCTTTAAGAATATATAAACTTTCAGAAGTGACAATAACATACTATCATTAATACATGTATGAGAAGTACAGCATTCTGAAGCATTAAACTAACTAATATTAATCAATAAAAACCAGGAAACACACATCCAGGTAAAACACAGGAAGACAAAGGGACAGGAGGCAGGCATCACTTTCTTCCTATGGTACCCTTTCTTCTTCCAAAAAGGCCCTGAGATCCTATGTCCATCCTGCCTCATCACACTCTCTCTCTCTGCCTCCCTAGAGCTGGGACTGATTACAGGTATGAGTCACCACTGCCATGACTCTATGGATAACTAGTGGCTAGCTCCACCCTCTGGTCTTCAGTTAAGTTTTGTTTGTCAGTACATAAACAAAGCATTTCCCCTTTTTTGTCTAAAGAAAAAAGCAAAGGCTTTAATTAATATAGAAAAATCTATAAACAATAAGTACCATAACCATATACAAATATATATGGGAATAATTACATTAACAATGTCTAGTCCATTAGCATTTGAAAAATTCAGAGAAAATACTCCATTAAATATCTTATCTTGGTGAGTCCAAAGTATTATACTAATTAAGTTTTTATACTAACTTGTATTAGTAACCTAAAATTATATTTTTATATCTCTCAATGTTAAACATTTTACACCTCTAGTGTGAGGTTCTTCTATCATTCAGAGCAGTATATATATATATACATACATATACATACAATCTATAAATAATATAATTTAAAAATAAAAATGAGCAGGGTAGTGATGGCACACGCCTTTAACCCCAGCACTTGGGAGGCAGAGGTAGGTAGATCTCCATGAGTTCAAAGCCAGCCTGGTCTACAGAGCAAGTTTCAGCACAGCCAGAACTATACAGAAAGATCCTCTCTCAAAACCAGGAGAGTAATGTCTGTACTGTGACTACACCCTGCCAGCATTTTGTGCTCACATTTGAGTTTGAGTGTTTAGTGCAGGAGACATGCAGCACTGATAAACTACAATATCAGAATCTTGTATCTGAATTCACCCTGCTGAGAGGAGCATGTGTGGTAGGGTAACTCAACCAAAGAACCAGAATAAGCCCATATGTTGTGGACTTTACCACAAATGTAGCCATGAGGAAGTTCTTTAGGACTTAGGCAGGTTCTGGATGAGCAAACATGAAATCTTATTATTGGTGGAACTCCGTGGCTCCAGATCATTGTCATAGACTTCAGACTTCAGGTGACTCCTGGGGAAAGTGGGCAGGGTTGGAATATAACCTGTCAGTGCTAACATAGACGGATACTTTATTAGTTCATGAAACTAGCAAGTGTACTGCCATGATACAGTTTGGCTAGATCATCTGGGAAACTCCTTATGACTCTCATTATTGATAACATACCTGCTCAAGGGCTTAGAAAACTGTTCTGATGGACTTATGAGACTTCACAGGACAGTCAATATTCCCGAGAGAATAAAGAGAGGATACAAGTCCTCCCCAAACCTCAATGTACTCAGGGATTAAACCTAGTGTATTATCTTCTTCAGGCAAATAGTAGCAGACACCAAAAATCTAGTCATTTGTCCCATCCCAGTTTCAGGTCCCAGTTCATATTAAAACTACATTACAGACATTACAACATTTGACAACAATTTGCCCTATATCTGGGAAAGAGATTGAGAAAATACAATGACCATGTCAGGCTAACACTGGTAAATGTGAAGAACAAGCTATCTGTCTGCAGTCACGTATCTAGTGTCTCCACCCTGAAGGCCATCTCAGGTGTCTATAGAGCAGGGAGGAGCTCTTTGTTAGAGATGTTAATCTTGCTCATTGCTAGCTTGAGCTAGCATCTGGTCAGTTAGATTTGACTCTAGGACTAAAACACCTGCCTCTGAAGAATTCCTGCAGGACTCCCTAGCTCACGTACTTGATGGGAAATCATGTGTTTTCTGGTGAGTCACTGTCATTCCTTTTAGAAAGTAAAGGACAGGGCTTTGTTTTGTCCCTACCAG